TAGACAATATCTTTACTTTATCAATCCAACTATTATGTGATTTGTCGAATCCTAACCACTTGACTAGAATTTTATTTCCTTTCTTTTTCAACACTTGCTCTACAAGATAGATTTCAGGTTGTTTTAGTTTTCTGTAATTCTTCTTCGTAAAATCCACCGCTGATGGGATTACCTTGATAATCTTCTAAAGGTACGTTACAGGGTTTGTAATTTTACTTTAGATACTTTGAAAAGCTCAGTGGTCCAATTTGGCGTATATCCTTTTTCAAAAAGATGTTTCTGTTTTGAGATTCTAACGGTATCGCCAACTTTAAATTTTGATTTTCCCGCTACCTTAATATGACTATAAACACCATCTAGTAGTTTCTTCTCACTATTACTATCCACATTCTTCGGTTTCATTCCAATGGTTCTGTGTTTCGTATCGTTATAGTCTTCTGTAACTTTATTTAGTAATTCCAGCCATTTATGGTTCCCATTCAACGTAAACGATCTAAATAATTTTTCCTTAATAGTGCGGAATTACACGTTCAGCTATAGAGGCTTTCAAAGGGCTAAAAAGTACTGTAGTGTTGGATCTTGTATTTTTTTTCATCAAATTTTGAAACTGACTGTTGTAATACTCTTTGCCATTATCCGACACCAACTTTTTAGGAATTCTGTTTGAAGATTTCAATATGATTTCCATGGCCTTAGTAATGTCTGGTGCAGATTTTGATTTTACAGGTTTTTGTCCATAGATATTTGGAAAAACAATCAATCACAACCAAGATATATTTATAGCCCTTATTCTCTCGAGAATATTGATCTAATTGAGCAAGATCGGTGGCAAAAAAGTATCGTCTAAACCATACTGAATAAATCTTCGTCTTTTGAATTTAATACGAGCGGGTTTATGAAGTTCCCTAACGACTTGTTCTCTAGAACCCATCGCTTTGTCTAACGAAATAGTGCTGGTATATGTGTATTTTTATATTTTATTTTGGGTTAGAATTTTTTTGCCAATAATAAATCTTCAAGGACACCTTTACATCATCAAATCGTTTGATAAATCGTCTATTTTCTGGTTTGTTATTGTCTTAAACGAATCAAGCACTCTCTGATATTGTGCTGCTATATCCGTATCAATGTTCTGTATATCATGCTCAATGTTTGATAGTTTAGAATTGATACTATCCAGTTCTAGACGTTTAGCCTTATTGGATTTTTCAATCACCGTATCTGTATAATTCTTTATCGCACTTTCCAGCATATCAAGATCTATATGCAGTTTCTTGACTATCTCATCCTCTAAAGTTCCAAATTTCTTATCCATATCCGTTAGACGTGTTGAAATTTTTGAAAACGTCTCCTGTAAGTCTATCTCTAACGCTTCTAATCTTTCGGCAAGAACACTGTTAAATGCGTTTATTGTTTCCATAGAACGAGCTTGAAATTTTATCTCTTCGCGGACTTTCCCTGCTAGCTCATCAGTATATCGTTTAGTCGATACATCGCTCTCTTCTGTAGGGTCTTCAACATTAGTTATTTTCGATTTTTTCAAAATCATAATCTCCTTCAGGTGTGTGGGAAAATTCAGGTTGAGGGTACACTAACCTTCGCTTGGAAGATAAAGACCATCCGAACTTGTTCATGGTTGAAATAATAATGCTCAAATATCTAGTATAACACTTTATTTATAGGTTCAACTACACCTAGTTCTAACAATTCTTCAAGAATACTCATTATTTCATTCGTATGGTTTCCGTTTCCTGCTGTTTGAGAAGCATCCAGTTTACTTAATCTATCCACCAACTCGTTGATGTCATCATAATAAATATATTCTTTAGGTTTTCATTATACTCAAGTAGTGCGGATCCAGACTTAGTTTGCGATCTGGTTTTAGGGATTTTCTGTGCTATATTGCTAGCTGATGAATGTCTAAGTCTTGAACCTTCAAGCGAAGCCGAAGATGCAGCTGTAATCAATGGTTTAACGAAATCCCTATATTTCACAGATTTACTACCCCTCAATTGTCCCAATGGACTAAAATCTCTTTTTATTGCACGTTGGTTTGCTTCAATATTTTCTGAAATTGAACTCTATCGTTTTTCAGTAAAGTGCATAGGTTTCTTTAGAAATAACAATTCATATAAACCACGATTTCCCTTTGTAAATAGAATCGCCTACTCGTATATCACCATTTTGAAGAAAATCCACTTTTTCCGTCCCCATTTTCCAAGTTTCAGTTGGTGCATTATGTTGTAAACCATACGTATGATCTATTTCATCGGAATCTATAAAGTACTTATCGATAAATTCATGTGCTATTTTTTGGATACTGATCCAAGTAGCTCTTGTACACTTCAGTTTGTTCTAGAATTGATTTTTGAAGATCTTCGTTAGCATCTTTAAATGCTTGTAGTGATTGTACTTCCATAAAAAACATTATCATCATCATCATTATCACTGTTTCCAGACTTCTCACGCAATCATTTCAGTCGGCTGGAATTCAACATACTTTTGAGAACTGCGTTCAGGTTTCGGCTGTTTCTTTATCGATGATGGTGGTGTTATCTTTTCCATCTTTACAATTTCCTCTTCCTTGTTCTTTATTGTTCTGTCTGCGAGTTTATTTAAGGGTATAGTTATAGGTCCCAATATTCTATTTAGAGTTTCATCTCCCTCATCACGTTCTAATTTCAAGGCTAGATTTTTTTTCGTATATGTCTAGCAGCATTTATAATCTTTCTCTGAACTTCTCGTTCATCTTTTGTTAATATTTTAGGCATTTCGAACCCGATCTGTTTCAATCAGGGCCGTTCCAATCAGGTCCGTTCAATCAGGTCCGTTCAATCAGGTCTGTTACAATCGGGTCTGTTTCAATCAGGTCTGTTTCAATCAGGTCTGTTTCAATCAGGTCTGTTTCAATCAGGTCTGTTCCAATCGGGTCTGTTTCAATCGGGTCTGTTTCAATCAGGTCTGTTTCAATCAGGTCTGTTCCAATCGGGTCTGTTTCAATCAGGTCTGTTTCAATCAGGTCTGTTACAATCGGATCGTTTGATACTAGGTGTATCCTCGATCAAGGACTCTTACATACTAACCATTAAACTATGTTTATGGTATTATATAGGTATTAAATCTGCTTCGGTAACGACCTTTGTGAATATCACAGTCTTTAACAATAACAAGAAATCCATATTTGTCTTTCCAACATTCAGAACATATATCCTTAAACATGTTTATCGACATGTCTGTATTTACGTGATCATCATACACATGCCTAAGATTAGTATCATCTTGCTTGAAAAGTATCAACATATTAGCATTATCTCGAACCAATTGTTTAGGGATCTTTGAATAGGTCTGACAGAGGTAAAACGAGTCGATTGCATTGTGACGACCCATGCAAAAATAATTTCTAATTTTATCTTGTTTCTCACAAGCTACATCATCGAATATGAAGACAGAGTCGGGTTTGGCGTTTACGGGATCCAATACACTATCGTTATCGCTGTATCCGTAGTAATTAACACCTTTAATACGATCCAAAACCTGTTGCAAAAATGTGTATTTGTCTTGAAAGAGAGACTTTGAGTAAACATACACGTTCTCAAACCGAAGTCCGTTTGGATCTGTTAAAAGACTTAACATCACATTCGTTTTTCCTGAATTACTGGGGCCACAGATTATAGCCCTTATAGTATTTGGTAATAGATCGCTATGTCGATTTCTAGCATCACCCTGTGCGATATCGAAATTACAAACATCAATATCGATTTTCTGTTTAACTTTTCTCATTTTTTTTTTCACATATATACGATGTTTATTCGATCACGTCTTCAGTTGTAATGAGAACGTCAAAGGGTAAAGGTCTCTTAAATAGGGCTATCAATAAATTACCATTTGAACTTCATTTACCTGGTTACCAGTATTGTGGTCCGGGAACAAAGCTTGCTAAACGATTAGCTAGAGGAGATCCAGGCATAAACGAATTAGATCGAGCGTGTAAGGAGCACGATATCGCATACTCGAAAGAAAAGGATTTGAATCGACGACATCAAGCCGATAAAGTGTTGGAGGAAAAAGCGTGGGAAAGAGTTAAAGCTTTGGATTCTAATATCGGAGAAAAAAGTGCTGCGTGGCTTGTTACAAACGCAATGAAAACAAAACGAAAGCTTGGTATGGGTGTTAAACGAAAACCCTTCAAATCTTTTATTGTTAATAAAGTGAAGAGACATATTAAACATTATGGTAATGGCACCCTCAAGGATAATATTAAACTAGCACTGAGAGCAGCTCGCATGAGTGTTAAACAAGCTGGTGGTAGAAGAAAAGTTAAAGTACCTAGAGTTATCCCAGTACCTAAAGTCGGAGGAATTTTACCTCTTATTCCGCTCTTCGCAGGCCTAAGTGCTTTGGGAGCTCTTACCGGAGGCGCTGCTTCTGTCGCTAAAGCTGTTCAAGATAGCCGAGCGGCAAGAGATAAATTAAAGGAATCTCAACGACATAACGAAACCATGGAAGCCATTGCGTTGGGTAAAAGAGGAAGCGGATTATACCTTGCCAAACACAAGACAGGATATGGATTATTTCTTCAGAAGCAATTGCCAAAAAACTACCAATAAAGCTACCCAATCGACCTTTGTCTAACCTAGATATACAGAAATATGTAAAGAAATTAAAAATTGTCAACTTCAGAGGAGTATTTATGCGAAATGCTCTACCACAAACACCTAGAACGAACGAGTGCGGTGTTGTAAATTTGGACGAGATTGAAGGAGATGGAACTCATTGGGTAGCATATAGAAAAACAAGGGATAAAGTTGTGTATTTTGATAGTTTTGGAAATTTAAACCCACCAAAAGAAATTGTTCGATATTTCAAGAAATGTAAAATATATTATAATTACGACCAGTATCAAACATATAATACTTAAATTGTGGTCATCTTGCATTGTCCTTTCTCTATAATAATAAATAGTTATAAAAAGAACATGTGTTTTAATTCCAAACTCAGTCATGTCTCAGACATTCACACTGAAAGGTCGTTCTAGCTGTTTAAGCGTGGACATTAATCCTCCAATAGAACTCGATTCTAGATACAGTTATTCTCTAGCTCTGATATCTCTCAGTACCTGGAATTCAATACCGAATATCGAACCAGGTCGAAATAAGTTTCATTATTCTGTAGACGGTATAAAAAGCAAATAATTGAAATTCCAACAGGATCTTACGAGATTACCGACATTGAAGAGTATTTGCAAAAAGAGCTAAGTTCTAAGAGTAAAACCGTTATAAAGTTACACCTAATAATAATACACTAAAGTGTGAAATAAAGTGTATCTACGATATAGATTTTTCAACCTGAAGATAGTATTGGAAAAATATTAGGATTTTCACCGCAAGTTTTAGCTGCCAACAAATTGCACAAATCAGATATACCTGTAGGAAATTTTTTCCTGTGGTAACAATACGTATCGAGTGCAATATCATATCTGGATCGTATTACATTAATAATCCATCTCATACACTGTACGAGTTTAGTCCTAGCGTAGATCCTGGCTATAGTATAATTATCGAACCCAGGAATCTAATCTACCTTCCAGTAAATAGAAATTTTATTGATAACATTACATTGGATATATTAGATCAGGAATCAAGACCGGTCAACTTTAGAGGTGAAGATATTGTTATACGTTTGAGCTTAAAAAGAATGGGTTTAACTTTTAAACCTTACTATTTAAATACCAGATCACAGAGCAATCAATCAGTTAGTACTTGTACGCCGAAGCAGACGCTCACGTCAAGAGTATACTTCAGCTTCACCATATTATCAGCAAATATGGACTCCGTATCAGAAAAACTACAAATATTCCAACCGGTCAACGTAGATGAATCCATTGCTCGAGAAGAATGGCATACGTATCACCCGTTCACCAAATCATTTAAGAACAGCGATGAGATAGAAATTGTTATTAACCAACAGGATGTGTTTATGGATATTAGCCAAGCCGAATTATACATTGAAGCCAAATTTCTGGAAGAAGTATCGACAGTTGTGAAAACAGGAAAATGTTCCCTGACAAATAACGTTGGAGCATTTCTATTTGAATCGATAACGTATGAATTGAATGGAAAAGTAATCGATAAAGTACGAGATCCAGGGCTTATAAGTACCGTTAAAAGTCTTTTGTGTCTCAATCAAAATGAAAGTACTGCCCTTGATGTGGCGGGATGGAATTGGCCGAACGGTACTGTGAAATCATATGAACCACAAACGGATAATTTCAGTCTCCTAATACCGTTGAATTTCCTATTGAACGTCTTCTCCGATTATACTAGCGCAATTATGGGAACGCAGAAATTAAAGCTTGTACGTGCCAAAAAAGATGATAATTGTTATGTTAATTCAGAGGGAAACAAGAAAGCAGACATCACCATTTTGAATATCGAGTTAAGAGTAAAACATATCTACCCGAACGATTCTGTGAAATTAAAATTGTTTGAAGCAATTTCAAGGACAAACCGGTATTTATTGGATTTAGGAAATGGGAAATTCATGAACTACCTGCTCTACGACAAGCGAGAAAAGATGTATGGACAGTGAAGGCAGCATCTGAACGAGCGAGATATGTTGTTGTATTCTTCCAAGAAGATCGAAAAGATAACTATAAAGCTGATGGCACATATTTCGATAATTTGAAAATTACAGATGTCAAGCTTTATCTAAATTCCGAGGCCTACCCATATGAATCCCTAGATTTAAATTTCAAAACCAGACAGTTTACTAAAGCCTATTCCATGTATACGGATTTTCAAAAATCGTATTTGGGAAAGATCAATAGCGAACCTTTGCTAGATTTTACCGCTTTTGCCAGTCGAGCCCTATTTGTAATTGATTGTTCAAAACAAAACGAGGCTCTGAAAAGTAATGTGATAGATGTAAAGCTAGAATTTGAGAGTTCGGAAAATTTCCCCGAAAACACCCGAGCATTTTGTATCATCATATACGATCGAGTCATGGAATATTTACCTTTATCAGGACATGTTAGAACGCTAATTTAATCAGTTGCTGCAAGACATTGATACGATGAAGTTCGTTGTTATAGACGTACAAGGATTTCCCATCCCCGAATTTGAGGTTAAGGAATTATCCATATACGATGGAAAAGAAATGAAAACCTATACGTTTAAACCGAAGATTTGTTACAACCATCTGCCGATACACCATAAGAAGACGATAAATTATATATTTCACAATGTTCATGGAATCCCTTATAATTCAGGGTATTTACCCTATAAGGCGATGTATAACATAATACAGGAGGAATTGGAAGGTGTCGATATGGTTTTCGTTAAAGGATCTATTAAAAAGGAATTTCTGCTGTGCACATACAACGAAATGAATCTTGATCCACCCTGTATAGTGAACTTGGAATTTACTTCTGGACCTGTGCCGAAATTAGAACAATCATACAGTAATAATTGTAATTATCATAGACTAGAAATATGTTCTTGTACTGTAAATAATGCTCATATATTATATGATTATATTATAAACATTTTAACTCAATAAATTTAAATCTATTAATATCTTGTTTTTTTTTACTTATGCTTTTGAAGAAGAAGTGAAAGTGCTGAGATAATTCAAGATAGGAATTAGTATTGATTGGGAAGATTATTGAATATTGTTTACCTGTTTTTTATAATTTACTAGATGAGAGAAATGTGGAAAAATAAATACACAGTGAAATGAAAAATTGTTTTATTTAGAATAAATACTCTAAATATTTTTTTATAAAATCAGTCTTGTACAATATAAAAGATTGAAAAATGTTTTTCAGTACATGTGTAAAATAAATATATAATAAAAATGATTATTTATGTTAGGAAAAAATTACTAAATTTGAATGCAGCTATTTAAATGGTTGTAGGATATAAAGAAAAAAAAGGTTTGTTTAATAATTCTTTATTGATGAATATAACAAACGTATTAGTACAAACTTGATACAGTGTATCTTTATAACATAAGTGTTAATGTTTATCTGTGCCGTCTCTCTCTCTCTCTAGAGAACTGTTAAGACAGATAAAAAGTATTTTGCTGTTGTGGCGGATGCCAGAAATTATCCTAATAACATTCGTGTTTATGTAACATTATTTTCTATACACTATGTATAAAAATATACGTGACAGTATAAAATGATAATGTTTATCTACAACGTCTAACTAAAAGAACCTAAATCTAATATATACGTATGAGTACAGTTTGTATAGTAAACATACAAATACGTTAAAAAGTAACATTATTTTCTATACATCCTGTATAAAAAATATAACAAAAAGTATATAATGATGTGTTAGTACAAATAAAATATAAAAACATAATTTTCTACATAGTCTGTGCCAAGATTTAAATCCTACATATTTAATGATAAAACAATTAGAACTTAACTGAAATCTAATATAGGTTTATATAAGTACAGACTGTATAGTAAACATACAAATACGTTAAAACGTGTGTTAATACAAATATAAAATAGGTTCCCAATATAGATGGGTGTTAATAACAATTATTATAACTACTAAAAACACTATATATACAAAACTAAACATATTATAACTAAAAAGTATGAACTAAATACAGTTTTTCTCAATGTCTAACTTTTTAAAAACCAAACGGTAATGAACCACCTTCCTCGTCGAATTTCCGTTTTGTTGACAGCGGTCTGTATAGAGCTTTGTCTGCTGTGTGGTTATAACCTTGTGATCCCCAGTTCTCCGTATCTGCCTGTATATTATGGGGATAGGTTCGGGCTCTTCTGCTAAAACCATGGATTTGATGGTTTCAAAATTGATGGTTTGAGAGGCGTTGTAGTTTAGGGGAGAGACCTTTAACCTTACACGTTATGGAATACTCCCGGATTTAGGAGAATATACCTTATACGCGTAATTCTTAGGTCCTCCCATACAAACTCATCAATGTAGCTGCCCTCACCATACCCCTCAACTCATCGGTCATTTCACCGAGGAAATTTCCAAGTGGGATATCTTCTTCTTGTCCTGCCTTCGATAGGTAAATAACGCTATCTGTGTCTGTGTAAATAGCGTTATCCCCGACTTTTCAAGGTAACTGTATAATTTCAGCCGGGCCTGGGCTGTTGTGTAGGCTGCCAAACATACATTTACTGTTGGTAAAACATCGTACGCTTCATCCTTGAATACCCAGTTTACCAGCAGGGTATCGTCGTTCACAGGCACTATGGAGTTGACATCTGTTGCAGGGTTAGATAACATGGAAAACAAGACTTCTGGTCTGGTGACAATAGACGTCTTTCCCTGGTTTTCCCTCTGCCCTAACTTGCCCCAAACGATGTGATGACAGCTTTTCCAAGCTGCCTAAGACCAGGATTTACAGAAACCTTTTCCGGGTTTAGCGTAACGCCTTCCTTTTTCCAGGTATTCACGTACGTATTGATCTTTGGATTCGGGTGTTGTACAGTATGATGGCCAGCCTGACGATTCCTGTTTGATTTTCAGAAACTTACTAATGTACCCGTTGAACAAACCCCTTCTTTCGTCTCCGGATTATATTGGGTTACCTTATATTTCCATATTTCTTGAATGTCTAGTATTATATATCCTTTTTCCAACGCCTTCACCACTTCGTCAATAACCCACGTACCGCTAATTGTTCTTTCTTCATCACTATGTCTACATTCTTTAGCACCGACTTTTGCGCATGTGTAACGCAACACGAACGCAACGCTAACGCAACACGAACGCAACGCCAACGCAACGCTAACGCAACTCTAACGCAACGCCAACGCAACGCTAACGCAACACTAACACAGGCCCGATTGAAACAGACCTGATTGAAACAGACCTGATTGAAACAGACCTGATCAAGTGACTCATATTGACGGTCCTCCCCCTTCTCAAGCAAGATGCCGAGATTGTTTATATTCTCTCCGTCAACATAGCTAAACAGTCATTCAGTATCCAGACATGGCGGCGTTAAGTTCAGCTTTTATTATATTTGCCGTTATAGTGCAAAATACATTCTATATAAATAAACCGAAAGATGTTATTGAAGCTTTCGTATGTTTAAAAACAATGATACTACAACGAAGTGTAAATGGCCAGAAGCTTGGCAGAGATTAAATATAGCAATAACGGATCGGTGGAAGGTTTTCAAACGTCCATTATCGGAAGAAGAGACTAGGAATAAGACGAACATAAAATATAAAATAAGGGGTAATCTTTTCAAATAGAAAGTGTTGGAGATCAATCTGATTGGCAGATGCTACCCATCAATTTTAACGATAGTTCAACTATGAAAAATCAGACGTGTAAAAGGATAAGGAAGAACCTACAGTGATTTCATATATAGTTCTATTTTTGTATATAATTATGACGTTTATATCATCTGCTATAATAGTATTTAGTACCTGCGCCAAAACCTATCAAAAAGTAAATGTATTGCATACTTTAAATAAATATTAAAAAATTTGTATTTTTGTTTTCATTAACACCCTGTATCTATAAATATACATATTTCTGTTTGTGGTAAAGCGTGTTAGCGGTCTTATCCGGTAACTTCCGTGTATAGAAAACCAATTTAATCGCCGGTCGTATACATTTGGTCGCTTTTTAGTTCATTTCTAACTTCTAACGGTTTTGGAATCAAAGAAATTTTCTGTGTATTTTGAGTGTGTTTAGTGAAAAGGGCTTAAAAGTGTGTGATATCGAAGAGTGATTTTCGTGTGTTAAGTGGCTGTTTAACGGGTATAATGGATAATAACTGTAAACTCAGGTAGGTCCGGTATTTTTAAGGTCTCTGTGTGTTTTTATGGTAATAAACCTATTTTTTCGGCAAATTTGTACATGGGCCTATAGCGTGATGGTATATAGGGTTTATAGAAAAACATATTTTAGTTATTATTTTTATTCCATCTATAAGTTTTTAATGGTTCAAGCTTAAATTAATTTTTATTCCATAGTAAATTATTATTATAGCGTATTTTTCATTTTAAGTGATATTTTTCTGTTGGGATAAGGGTACATGGTATAGGGAAGACCACACCCCAATATGGCCGTTGTGTAAATATTTTAAAGTTACATGAAAAATAACCGATGTTTGCCGAAGTCGATGACAGATGACCAGCGGTTGTTTACCTGATTTAAATGAAAACTTTTCCTTTAATCTCTATTTTTATAGAAATCGTATCATAAATAGTTTAATTACTACTGTTTTGTTTTTAATAAACACCATTGTTAATGCATAATTAGTTAATAATACATTTTGGTATATTCTTACACCTGTGGTTAATAGGTATAATGCGTGGGAGTATTGATTAGATAGTCGTTATTTAATTGTACCTACCACAGTCTATACTGCTGAGACAGCTTTAAACCGATGAAGAACAATGGAGCCCAAATTACAGTTACCTTCTTTGAGCTACCCGATAGGTGGCGCTTTGGTAGTTCGGAGTTAGGCGCTAGATGGCGGTCGGCGACTACGTACAGCGTTGCCGGATGTATAATGAAATGCGACGTTGCCAAATCTAAAAATCAGAAGATTTAGGGAAATTACATATAACCCATGTTATAAGATTTACATAGGGTGGGCCGCTATGGACGGGAAAATTTCCCTAAATTTAGGGAGAAAATGGGGGTTGACCTTGGGCTCAAGTGGCCCCATACCTACTCCTACTAACTGCGCCAATTATATGTTGTAACCCTGAGCGGAAGGGTTGTGGATTTTCCAAGTAAACGCTTTGTAAGATTTTTAAAAATATTATTTTATTTAAAATAGAATATTTAAACTGAATACACTTGTTTTACTTTGAAAAATAAAATATTAAAAGAATAAAATAAAAGAAAAAAGAGAGAGAGAGTGTGGTATAAATCTTTGTAATGCTAACTCCTTAATTATTTGTGATCGTCCTTCAACTTCATTCCGATTCTGAAAACTTACTGAATTCAAAAGTCTTGTTCGGATTTTATCAATCCTGTTGTAGAAATTAAGTACCGATTCATTGTTCGATTGTCTAATAGTATTTAGT